CCCCCCCCCGCCCCGCCGCCTTCGCAGCGGCCAAGCAAGGCTGCGCCGGCTGGAGTGGAAGCCCACTGGGGGAGCTGGGGGTGGTGGTGGAGTGGAGGCTGAGCGAGCATGCGCAGGAGAGCGCTGGGGGGGACCCCAAACGGCCCAACTTCCAAGCCGGGGTAATCGCGTGGCTGCGGTGGCTCAAGCGGTTGGGACGCTGAACTGCAGGCTGTGGAAGGTCGGGAGTTCAGCAGTTCGAGACCCGGGTGTGCCGCATGACTCCCGTCTCTAGTTCTGCCAACCCTAGCAGTTGGAAATTGCAAGAGGTGCCACTTCAGTGGGAAGGTGTTTAGTCATGCCGGCCACATGACCACGGAAACGTCTTCGGACAGCGCTGGCTCTTCGGCTTGGAAACGGAGATGAGCACCGCAATCCTAGAGTCGGACTTGACTGGCTTTCGAGCAAGGGAAGCCTTTACCTTTAATCGTGTGGGTCGGGGTGGGTGGGTGTCTCTTGGGGTCCGAGTGGACCACTCACGGAAACCCAGGCGGCTGCAGGGGTGGAGAAGGGGCCAAGTCTGCCTTAGGGATTATTAGGGAAAGGGACTGAGAATCAAATGGTCAATCAATCAATCAACAGCAGCACAATAAAAGCAGCACAAGTCAATTAAAACGGCCAAGGCTGTAATGCCTCCCTATGGAGCTATGGTGCAGCCTCATTGGGAATCCTCCTGTGTACAGTTCTGGTCACCGGTATCCAGCGGTCATTTTGTAGAAAAAGAGGGGCAGGAGCTCATTAACAGAACTCATTAGCATATTTTACGGGCGAGGGCGGGGTATAAATTTGATAAATAAATAAATAAATATGCCACACCCCCTGACATCACCGGAAGTGTGTCAGAAGGCAACACCCACGTCTCAAGCTCCACTGGACTGTTTTGGATTGGTAGCTGTTTGTGGGGGGGAACGTGCAGATCTGCTCTCAAAGAGGAGGGAGAGCTTATACCTGAAGGCAGTGTGTGTGTGGGGGGACTCTGCAACTTACCTGGCTGCTTCTTGCTCTGACTGAGGGCTGCTGGGAGGGGGGGGGCTTGTTGCCTTTGCCCGCCCCCTGGGCTCTTTACTTTTTTACTCTTTACTGCCGGAGCTCTGCTCCAGTGTGCTCCTGCAGGAAATGACCCCTGCCCCTATCTCCCAAAGGACATTGCAGAGGTGGGGAAAGTGCAGAGGAGGGCGACCCAGAGGATGAGGGGGTTTCAGCGGATCCATACGATGATCTTCAGATGACAGAGCTCAGTTCACCTGAAGAAAATGGCCACATTGGAAAGTGGATTGTATGGCATTATACCCTGCTGAGGTCCCTCCCCAACCCGTCTTCCCTGGGCTCCAGGCCCCAAAATCTCCAGGTATTTCCCAGCCCAGATCTGGCAACCCTCACAATACTTGGTCCCAAATAGATGCTTGGTTTATACTCCAAAATCTAACTTCATGGAAATCATTACACCTATCATTTGCATCAATTAGGCAAAGGTAAAGGTTTCCCTTGCTCGAAAGCCAGTCGAGTCCGACTCTAGGGTTGCGGTGCTCGTCTCCGTTTCCAAGCCGAAGAGCCAGCGCTGTCCGAAGACGTTTCCGTGGTCATGTGGCCGGCATGACTAGACCTCTGAGTAATAAAGAAACGTTTGCATTTTTCTTTCTTTCCTAGAGAAGCATGCCGGCATCTGGGAGGGAAACGCTGCTGACGACTCCTGTCGCTCCACAGCCTGAACATGATCTATTTTATGACGATTACATTCATCTGAATGTTTTGAACAAAAGGGTGCTCAACGACACTCAAGCTTCCGTTTACTATTTATGCTCAAAACCGTGCGTCGTCACTGTAGAGGCCGTCGCTTCTTTGGAATTCAGAACGGGCGTCTCAGTGTATAAGGAGAGCTGGGAGGATAGCCACCTCCACAGCAGCCGGAATCGAACAGTGACGCTGATGTTCCCGAGCAGTATGGTTTTCAGAGACGATTATTTCATCCGACGCCCCTTAATAGTCCATACAGTGATACTGTATGCCTGGATTACTCACAGGCAAGGGCGGATCCACCATGCCAAGCAGAGAAAAGGATACCTCCAGGCTGCTGCCAAAGACTACACTTTGCTGGAAACCGTTCCGCCTTTTGAGCGTCCGTACAAAGAGCACAAAGTGTGTCTGAAATGGAGCTTGGAACATGCGTGGAAACTCCAGTCAAACAGGATTCCTCAGTGTCTGTATGAGACGGGTAGGCCTTTTGCTTTGGGAAGGGAACTGCCTTTGTTCCAAAACTGGAATACGGTGGCTCGGTTGAGATGGAAAACAAAATCATACCTTTATTTCAGTTGTGGTAACTGAGCACTCGTGAAAACATGATTCAGTTTTCAGTTGATCAGTCAAATCTTGGTTGGCTGTTGCCTTGGCTGTGGCCTGGCTTCTCTGTAGCTGGGCACCACTTGAGGGTCACCGGGGAACCAGATAGAATGAAGCCAGGCATGTGTCATGAGAAACTATAGCTAAAACGAGGGGGCACCAACGTGGTCTGTGGTGTTACCCCCTACCAGCGTAGATTTAAGAAGCTGAAGCGCTGCCTTCAGTTTCTGGGGGAATTTCGCTAAATGGCAGGCCTCGGCGAGAGGTGGGGTATCAGCGAGGATCGTCATACCTATGTCTATGGGGATCTTTCCCTTTAAGAGAGCCAGTTTGGTGTAGTGGTTAAATGTGCGGACTCCAATCTGAGAGAACCGGGTTTGATTCCCCACTCTTCCTCCACTTGCAGCTGCTGGATGACCTTGGCCAAGCCATAGTTCTGTCAGAGCTGTTCTCTCAAGGACAGTTCTGGAAAGAGCTCTCTCAGCCCCGCCTACCTTGCAGTGCATCTGTTGTCGGGAGGGGAAGGGAAAGGAGTTTGTAGGTACTCTGAGACTCCGAGTGAAGGATGGCGTATAAATCCAATCTCTTCTTCTTCTTCTCTCAATAACCCGTCCAAGGGTAAGATAAAGGATGTTTTATTGAAAGGAGATCAATACACAAGAAGCACACAGAAAACATACACTCAGGGGTCATTGCCTAGAAAAAGAGGCGCAGGAGCTCATTAGCATAACTCATTAGCATAACTTATTTGCATATGCCACACACCCCTGCTAACACCCACCACTCAGGCTCCACTGGACTGTTTTGGATTGCTAACTACTGGGGGGGGGAGACGTGCAGATCTGTCCTGGCAGAGGAGGGACACCTTGCACCTGAATAAAACTTGGTCTTAAAGGTGCCACTGGACTGTTTTGGACGGGGGGGGGGGGGGCTCTGCAACTTACCTGGCTGCTTCTTGCTCTGACTGAGGGCTGCTGGGAGCAGGGGGTGGGGCTTGTTGCATATGCCCGCCCCCCAGGCTCTTTACTGCCGGAGCGCCGCTCCTGTGCGCTCCTGCAGGAAATGACCCCTGCATACACACATACAAAGTCTATGGGAAACAAAAGGGAGGGGTGGGAGAACAGCGGGGAGTGAGGCGATAGCTACTTTTCCTGAAGAAGTCGAGGAATCTGTGGAGAAGGAGAGATGGCAAAATGACCAGTGTTTCATGGAGAAGAAGGACCCAGTATATGGGGGGGGGGGGGGTTGGTAGGTGCCCAGGACCACACGAACACAGCAGTGGGGCTGCACTGGGCTAGTTATACCCAAAAAATATGTCCAGAGGGCTTGCTAATGCACGGGTTCCTCAGAACAAAATATTGATGACAATCAGGGATAAAACAATGTAGTTTGGAAATGCTGTATAGAGTTCCCAGGAGTGGACAAAAGAGACCGGAGGTTCTCTTCTGGATGCAAAGTACAGTTTGGGCTGGGCTTCTGATCAGTGTTCCCTCTAAGCTGAGTCAGTGTGAGCTAGCTCACAGCTTTTGAGCCTCCAGCTCACACGTTTTTTGTCTTAGCTCGGGAAGGAAGGCTCCAGAACAAACTAATTTATGCAGTAGCCAAACCACTCGCTCACAAAATAGAATTTTTGCTCACAAGACTCCACAGCTTAGAGGGAACATTGTTCCTGATTACTTCTCCGGTGGTTGAAGGACTAATGCAGGGGTGTCAAGCGTGTGGCCTGCGGGCTGCATCCGGCCTGCACAGGGCTCAAAACCAGCCCTCAGGCAACTTCCTTCTCCTGCTTCCTTTCCCAGGGCTGCTACTGCAGCCGCACCGTAGCTTGCTTTCCCCCCAGCTTTCTCAGTGGCTCTTTGCTTCCTGCTTCCTGCCTCCCTCCCGCGCTCGCTCCCTCTCTCACTTGCGCTCTCTCTCTCTCTCTCACACACACACAGATAGAGAAAGCCTCATCATGGCTGCTTCATGCCAGAGAGATAAAAAGACAAGCGTGCCTGCCTTGCCCCCCCACACACACACTCAGAGAGAGAGATCTCTTCTGCTTTCTTCTTCAGGGCTGTTTCTCCTCTTTTTTGGGGGGAAAGAGTGGAGGAGGAAAGAGAGAGAGAAAAAACAAAATTGGAGTCTCAGTTTTAAGACCAACGTTTTATTCCAGGTATATGCTTTTATGTGCAAGCACACTTCTTGGGAGGGAGGGAGGGAGGGAGGGTGGATGGATGGATTTTTCTGCCAAGCACAATGTACACTGAGGAAATTATTTTGGTTTATTCTGAAAAGTTTTTTTTTTTTTTAAAGAATTGGATTTGTCTGTTCCTATCTGGATTTATTTTCTCTCTCAAAAAAAGACCATGATTAGGAATTAGAGCACTTGGATTGGTCTTGGAGAGTGGAGTGATTTCAGATGCCAAATGATAATAGCGGACATTGGTACTGAGACTGGAAAACTAGGTCTCAATCCAGTCTAGGAGGATGCAATTCAGCAATCTCTCTTTCTGATCTCCCTTTGGAATTCCTTTGGAAGAGCACTGCTACTCTTAGGTCAGCAACTGAATGTTGTGGTTTCTAATGTCAGACTTATGTCCATTTATTTATTTATTTAATTTTATTTATACCCCGCCCTCCCCGCATGCGGGCTCAGGGCGGCTTACAATATACGGGTGCAATGCAGCACCATCATTCCACAGTTGTGCCATACTGTTGTGGGGATTCTTTGTATCCTCCTGGATGGAACGGAGACCTAGGTTTCCTGTCTCATTACCAATGCTGATATCGCCATACCTACTTCCCCTCTGCATATCACACCTAATCCAATCATGCCTGCTACTGCCATTCAGCATCTGAAATCATCTTTATAAAGTTTATATCTCTGGTACCTCATGTTACATTTTATAGCACGAATGGACTGGGCCAACTAACTGACACATATGTCAGATTCGGCCCTCATAAAAAATGAGTTCGACACCTCTGGACTAACAGATTGCTAATTTAAACTGATCAAAATGGAAATAATACTGTTTGATGAGCCACCTGGGTTTGGGATGTGGGAAAGGAGTAGAAGTCAGGACTTTTTATTATAAAGGAAATGTGTGGAGGAAGGCTGAGGCGAGATTGATAGGATTAGCGATTGTTTTTGAAAAGAAGTCGTTCTGGGGCGAGGCAAGTCCATTGTCCGGAGTATGCGGATGTCTGCACGGTGGAGGGGGGTTGCAGCTGTCAGAACAAGATCTCATGTGCTTCCAGGGCCACTGCCTACGTATGATTATGGGGCTTGCCAGTTCTGGCGTCCAACTTCGTGTCCACTTACGTCAAGATTCCTGGTATATGGATTCCTAGAGCATCCCGATGGGGTCCACTGCTGGTTGAAACGACCCTTCCTGAGAGACCGGGGGGGGGGGTGTTAGGCATGCTTACAATGGTGCCGCCAAGTGTTTTTAGAAAGTAGAAAGGCTTCTGGTTGGCCATTGGAGAGTTGATGCGGCTGTGCAGATAATAAATAAATAAATAAAAGCTATAAACTTGCAAGACATGCACTCTAGGATAGTTTCTGCTAAGCAAGACACGCTTTAGCAAACGGATAGAAAGAACCAAACAATCCAGGCATGCTGACAGACTGTAGCTGATAACTTACTGCAGCTATCTGGCCTAGATTCATGGGTTTTTTTAAGTCTGAAAGATTGATGGCTGATCTCTGCAATGGGTTGGATCCTGCCAGTCTTGCCACTGGCGCAAGTTGGAAGATGGGCTTCTTAGCTGTATTGTAGATAATGGCAGCCCCCTGTGGTTTGGGGGGCTGCAGTGAGATCACCCCTCATCCCTACGTTTGCCAACCTCCAGGAGGCACCTGGGGATCTCCCACTATTACAGTTGATCTCCAGATGACTGTAGACCAGTTCCCCTGGAGAAAATGGCTGCTGTGTGGGGGGGGCTCTATGGCATTCTACCCCACTGAGGTCCCTCCCCTCCCCAAATCCCGCCCTCCCCAGGCTCCACCCCCAAAATCTCCCGGTATTTCCCAACCCAGAGCTGGCAACCCTACTCATCCCCCTTACACAGTTGACTGGATGGAAACCCTGTCCTGATATCCAAAACAGTTTCAGACTCTGAAATATTGGACATTGAACCCCAAACATCAGGAAGGCATTGTTTGTTAGGTAAATCTCTAATTTCTAGGATCAGAGAAAAAGACTTAATCCTGGAATTCCAGAGGCAGGTATGTAGAAAAGTGACTGGACAGCAGGTTGTATTACCCTTTGAGGTTTGGGGGGAAAGGTTTTTTTTAACAATTCACCCCACTTTTAAAGGGTCAAGAAACTTCCTGATCAGTTCTTATGGTAACATTTCCCAGTAGGTTTTGGCATGGAGAGAGTGTACTTTTCTGCATGTGTTTTGCTCCCTCTAGTGGTCAATTCTCTATTACATTGCTGTATGTCCAGCATACCTCTCTGCTTTAAATCTGCAGGGTGATGTGTCACACAAATGAATCGAATCAACCACTAGAAGGAGCAAAACACGTGACGCAGGGGGGGAAAAACAACCCCAAAGCAATAGGGACATGCAGGTGACGAAAACGAGGATGCAGAAGAGCCCTACACTGGAAATAAACAAGAATTATGTTGGCCAAGGAAAACTGTCCAAGGGTGAAAACCCAGTGCAATATTGAAACAAAAGGCACAACATGTTCTTCACCAATGCTCCTTCTAAGCTGTGGAGTCTTGTGAGTAAAAATTCTACTTTGTGGGCTACTGGCATTAAAGTTGTGAGCGAGCGATTTGGCTGCCACATAAATTAGTTTGCTCTGGAGCCGTCGTTCCTGAGCTGAGACAAAAATGTGTGAGCCGGAGGCTAAAAAACTGTGAGCTGGCTCACACTAACTTAGCTCAGAGGGAACACTGTTCTTCACCCACAATATGCCCCTGACTTCCTCCTGGCTTTGCAAACTACATAACAGAAAGGGATTTTCTTCAAGTTGAACATAAGATTATCCCTCATGTATCTTGACTTACACATTCACACACACACACGCTAAAGAAAAAGGTCACATTTTAAGGCCTATTGCATAACTTACGCAGAAAGCTAGGTGTTTTTTCTTCGAAATTCTTACAGAAAACCATGGCGCTCTGGAAAACATGCCCTTTGTTTCTGATGCCAGGCACAGCAGTAGTGAATCAAGCTCTGAGTTTCCAAAAATGATATGGAGGCAGGTGTTTCATTCACCATGCAAGAAGGCAGAAAAGTATATCCTGCACTTCCAGCTGTTCTAACTGCAAATAGTACTGAAATTAAAAATGCACACAGGTGCCTTCATAACTTGTGGAACTGTAACTTTACATTTCCACTCATTTAACCACATTTTTCTCTTTTTGGAAGACATCTCAGTTTTGGCCACAGTGTATGGTACATTGCAAAGACGTGAATATTGCTTGAAGAATTGGGTTTTTTCAAAACAGTTTAAATATAGTGTGTTTTTAGATTTTTATGGTTGTTCGCTTTGTGTTATCATTTGTTATGATCTTTTGGTTTAATCCACTGTTTATCGGCTTACTTAGCTACAACAGAATTCCAGAAGGATCTTCTATTGCATTACCTGCTGGTGACAATCCGGATAACCCAAAATATTCGCTTGTAGAGTTCTGACACTGTAATAACCACGAAAGGGAGTTATCCACAGTTGAACTACTCCCTGCCTGATTCTGCGCTATGCAACAACTACTTTGTATCTGGCTTTTCTGGGCTGCGGTGGCTCAAGTGGTTAAGACGCTGAACTACATACCAGAAGGTTGGTCGTTCAGCAGTTCGAGACCCGAGTTCCACGTGACGGGGTGAGCTCTTGTCTCTGGTCCCAGCTCCTGCCAACCTAGCAGTTCGAAAGCAAGAAATTGCAAGTAGACAAATAGATACTGCTTCAGTGGGAAGGTAACAGCGTTCCACGGTCCTCGGTGTCTAGTCCTGTCGGCCACATGACCATGGAAACGTCTTCGGACAGCGCTAGCTCTTCGGCTTCGAAACGGAGATGAGCACTGCATCCCTGGAGTCGGATTCGACTGGCTTTCGAGCAAGGGAAACCTTTACCTATCTGGCTTTTGGAGAGTTAACAGTGTCACCTCCCCCGCTGCTGTAACTACTCCGTGCCCTGGATCAATAATTCACCAGCACATAGACACATGTGGCAACATTGCAGTGGAAAGTAATTAATAGTTATATTTTGATGTTCACTGCATAATTATCAGAGCTGGGGCTTACAGGATCCAGTCTTCTGTGGATCCTTTGAAAAACCATCCAAGGTTGCAGTCCCTATGCACACTGACTAAGGACTGTGTCCACTAGGACTTCCTTCTGAGTAAACGTTCATAGGATCAGGTTGCAAGAAGAAGCCACAGTTCATCTTTGGTTCCAGTTTGTGGTGTGGTGCGCTGTACACGGGCGCAGTTGCTGCAAACTTAAGTAGCAGCTAGGAATGGATTTCCTTTACAGCAGTCCAGAATCTTTTAAAGGAGGGAGATGTTTAGATAACTCTCTCTGCGTTGCATTCACAAAACAGTTTGGGTTATCATATTTGTTCTATTCCACCAACATGTCAGCTGTGCATTGGTTAAGAACAAGGCGTTGTAGGTAGGAAGGGGCATAGAACTTATCATAGTCCCTGACAGTTTTTTTTTAAAATGCTGAATTTTTACAGATGCTGTTGAGATCCTCAGCTTTCCATATGCATCCAGTGGAGAGATGGCAGGCATTGTGAAGAAGTTTGGGGAATTCAAGAACAGAGAGCTGGAAACAATCAGGAAGCGTCAGATTGGTTACCCCATGTAAGCAGATAAAAACACTCTGAAGATAACTGTGTCTGTATTCTCCTCCATCATCTGTCTCCCAACCCTGTTTTACTTTCTGTTTACCATTATTTCTTGGGAAAAGTGGTAGATTAAAAGCTGTTTTCCAGAGAACCCTTTCTGTTAGTTTGCTAGTTCACACATTCTGTTGGCGATGCTAGTTCCTGGTGAAGTGTTGTGATTCACAAACCTTCATGTTGGATTGCTCTGTGGTTGCCTGCGTGACCACAGTGAAAGCCATTCACCTGAAAGAAGCCACTCCAAACTTGCAACCATTTGAGTTGAGCGTTTAGATCGTAGGATGAAAGTGTTGTGAGTGAACATCTCTTAAAATTGTGTTGCTCTATCAGCCCAAAGCATTCCATTTTTAATAATGGCTGGGGAGTTCCGGAACTGTGAATAGAATAGCAGCAAGCTGCTTCTACAGCATCTGATAGGTAGTTGACTCTGGATTTGGAGGTGTCACGGGCTGGGGTGCCAGTCAAAGGGAGTCCAGAACAGACCAAGGTCAGGAGCCAAGAAAACAGTGCAAAATCCAAGCCAGGGTCAGGAGCCAGAAACACAGAGCCAAGTCCAAAATCACTAACCAGAAGCGTAGTCCCAAAAGTCAAGCTGGGGTCAGGAGCCAGGAACACAGAGCCAAGTCCAAAGCCAGGGGGTCCGAAAGTCTAAGTGTAAGAGCTGAGCCGAAGTGGATGTAAGCAGCACAAAGCTGCCTTGTTACTTCCACGAAGAGTACTGCCCAGAGTGTGGAGTTAAATGCTGCTACCAATGAGCCAGCTGCACGATCGGCCAGGCTCCAGGCAGAACTCTGGGCTAGCCGAACGTCTTCCCTGTAGCCTGGCCTCTCGTCACCTGGTTGCTAAATTTTGCCACAGTGGGGATGAGTCAGGAGGGCTTTCAGCTTGCAGTTCTTTCCCCTTATCTGGGCCAGGTATGAAGAATGCTGTTACAGGCAACTGCCAGCTATCCTCTTCTGCTGCTTCAGAGGGGCCAGCTGAGTTTCCTTCTTGCAGCTCTGTCAGCTCTCCCTCAACCACGCCCATGACAGGAGGTTTTGTCATGCTGCCCCAGCTAATAGGTGATGACTTGTATCTGACCACTCTGCAGACTCAAGTCTGAAGCCTTCCAAGCCCAAGGAGTTTCTTCCAACTCAAGTAGCTCTTCTGCTGGTGAAAGAGCCACTCCAGTGGGAGGAAGGCTCTTTAAGCTGGAGGAAATTTCCCTTAGGATCCACGCCAATGACAGATACATTTCCCGTGCATTTGTCTAATCCTTCTTAAAATATTTCCCCTGCCCCATTACTCGGTCCATGAGGTAGCTCATAGTGCAAAAATTGCAGTTAGATAAAGAATGCGGTGCTAATGTTGACCTCATCCCAAGTTTTCCATGTTTAATATGCTGCTGCCTTAAATATGAGTCCGGGATGCATGCAGCATGCCCTGCCAATACTTCCCTGTTGGAAACACCACCTCAGCCATCAAATCAGGTGCTCAGGAAACCAGCAACGTTTTATGTGAGCAAACAGAGATAAGGCTTCCGAGTACCTTTTCCCCCCTTCCTGCAATCTGCACAGGCTACACCTTTATTTATCTTGTGACACGTTAGCAGGAGCTGCGGAGACGGCTTGCCTAACAGTGCTGCCTTCTGCGGAGTTCCATCCTCCTGGCATCCAGTGAAGTTGATGGGGATGGTTAACTTCTGTGATATTTAGCAATGTCCTGTCCCCAGTGATCTGGGGGAAGAATTTATTTGGTCACTCGCAGAAGGTTTGGCTCTACAATGAACCCGTGTATTCTGAAGGGCATTTACTGGCCTTCTTTGCAAAGATTTAAGCCTCACTGGCTTGCTGGCTGTGTTGCTTGGCAGGAACCAGTATGCCACTGAAGTGCCCCCAGCTTTGCACAGTGGGCCCCAGAAACACTAAAACTAACCTAGACATTGCTGTTTTACATGCTCGGGGGAAAAAAATCAAATAATTCCTGGGACTGTATCATGTGAGGATTCAAGCAGGGGAAACGTGTGCTTGATTTCTGTTTGTCCTTCTACAGCTTTACTGTTTCAATCTGGCTTTATTTACTCGACTACTGCAAGAAACCTTTGTGTGGGCTCCTGTACTTCATTGATTCTGAAGAAATGTATGGGACCCCTGCTGTATTTCTAACCGATGAAGGTGAGTGCAAGTGTTTGTGTGTATGTCTATGTGGGAGAAATCTTCCAGTGCGGTACGTATTTATCCACTGTATCTTTGGAGTGGCTTCCAGTGCGGTACGTATTTATCCACCGTATCTTTGAGACAGAATGGGCTTTTCCACATTCTCATCTTCCTCGCTTCTGTGTTCCTGTTGCTTTGGGCTATTTTTTCCCCTGCTCCACACATGTTTTGCTCCCTCTAGTGGTCAATTCGATATGACATCATTTTATGCCCAGCATAAAAAACACACCGTTTAAATTTGCAGAGATATGCCAGACATAAAAAGCTGCCTCGATATTGCCTCATTTTATGTCCAGCATAAAAACCTCTGGTTTAAATCTGCAGACAGACATGCCAGACATAAAGTAATATAATATCAAACTGACCACTAGAGGGAGCAAAACATGCGTTGAACAGAACAACCCCGCCCCCCAAAGCAACAAGAACACACAAGCAAGGGAAATTAGAATGTGGCAACGCCCTGCATCTACTTCACATGATTTTTAACAATCCCTCCTAGCAGGGGTCGTTTCGTAGAAAAAGAGCTAGTGGAACTCATTAGCATAACTCATTAGCATATGCCACACCCCCTAATATCACCGGAAGTGTGTCATAAGGCCACACACCCTGACATCACCGGAAGTGTGTCATAAGGCCACACACCCCGCCCCCAACGCTCCCGGCCGCCGGCGCCGGCCTTGCAGCTCCACTGCCGAGCCCCATGAGGGGCCCAGCGGTGGACCTGCAAGGCCGGCGGGAGTGCAAGGAAGCCCCGCGAAGGCCCTCCCTGGCCCCAGGCAGGCAGGGGTGGGGAGAGGCAGGGAGGAAGCAACTTACCCTCCCTCTTCTCCTGCCTCCTCCTGGCTGAATGAGGGTCCCGCGATCCCCCCCGAAATGACCTCTGCCTCCTAGTGTTTTAAGAAGGGCAGCCATTTTGACAGAAATGGGAACAAGCAGGGTCACATGACCATATACAATCCCGTAGATCTACATTAATTTCCTAATTCCCATTTTTTCCTCCCAGGGAGTCTTGGGAATTGTAGTTCTGGTGAGCAAGAGAGACGGGGGTGGGTGGGGGGAAGCTAGGCCCCTAATGCAATTCTCAGTTTCTTCACCAAATAGCTATTGCTGCTGCTGGGCTCTGATTGGGTCATCATTTGTGGGAAGGTCTGTGCGTGTGTGTGTTGTTTGTGCACCAATCCCAAATCTGTACTGCTCAAGGCTGAGTGCCAGGAGTGAAATTACCACAACTAGAATCAACTGTATACAATGAATGTTGTTCCAGCAAAGGGTGAAGGTGAAATGAGGCCTTGTACTCTTTCAAGGAGGTGGAGAGACAGGCTCCTCCCTTCCACAAGCAGACTGTTGTTTTAATATTGTGCTGTTTTATAACATGTAAACCGCCCTAAGCCTGCCCAGGCAGGGATATAAATAAAATAAAATAAATAATTAAAGGTGCTACGCCCGGTTATAGTTGTGGAGTACTTCAGGGCTTTGAGAGGCTCGAGAGACTGGTGGATGAGAGACCTCTAGTTTAGCAGCAGACTCTCAAGTTGAGGTCTCAGGGTCCAAGTCCAAATCAAAAGGCCAGGGGTGTACCCAGGGGTCATTTCGTAGAAAAAGAGGGGCAGGAGCTCATTAGCATAACTTATTTGCATATGGCACACCCCCTGACATCACCGGAAGTGTGTCAGAAGGCAACACCCACCGCTCAGGCTCCACTGGACTGTTTTTGGATTGCTAGCTATGTGGGGAGTGGGGGGGGGGACATGCAGATCTGTCCTCGCAGAGGAGGGAGAGCTTGTACCTGAATAGAACTTGGTCTTAAAGGTGCCACTGGACTGCTTTGGACCGGGGGGGGGGGCAGCTTTGCAACTCCCCTGGCTGCTTCTTGCTCTGACTGAGGGCTGCTGGGAGCAGGGGGTGGGGCTTGTTGCATGTGCCCGCCCCCCTGGGCTCTTTACTGCCGGAGCTCCGCTCCTGTGTGCTCCTGCAGGAAATGACCTCTGGGTGTATCCCCGGGTGAGCGGACTGACAGACTCCAGGGGCTCCTCCTGCCCATCAAAGGGGGCTCCAGGAGGTGTCTCCACGGCCTCCTTTTCTGGTGGCGTTTGGTGCCCAGCTGCCTCATCCTCTTTGTGTTTGCCCTCTTCCTCGGAGGAGGAGAAGTCCATACTCTGTTCCATGATACAAACCCATAGTGAAAAAAAGGACATCCTGGGAATCAGGGCAACCAGGTAAAGATAACTGTCTGGAAGTACCACTTTATGCAAACAGTGCTTTTATACAAGCCCTTCCCTGGTCCTTTTGCCATGCCAGTGGACGAACACACAGGAAGCTGTCTTAGAGTTGCCAGGGCCTACCTGGCTGCCAGCGGGGAGATTCCCAATCCTTTCTTGAGTTCTTCTGATGTGTGCGCTTTGTGTGCATGCTGTGATGACATCACAGTTCCAACGTTGGGGGCCACGCTGTAGGTTTTGGGCAAAACTCTATGGGGGTTTTGGCCTCAAAACCATAGAGTTTGGTCCAAAACCTAGAGCGTCGCCCCCAATGTCAGAAACATAATAACGTCACTCCCGGGTGATGTCATCATGCTGGTGCCACCAGGAGGGGGCTTCTTGGGGGTGGGACTTCCCTCACCAGCCAGCTGGGCTGCAGTGGATCGGGGCCCACAAAATTGGGGGATCCCCCGGCCCCACCGGGCGAATGGCAACTCTAAGCTATCTTGTACAGAGCCAGAACTTTGGTCTGCCAAAGTCAGTATTGTCTACTTTGACTGGCAGTAGCTCTCCTGCGAGTCAGGTAGAGGTCTTTCACATCAGCTACTGCTTGATCTTTTCAACTGGAGATTCCATAGACTGAATCTGAGGCCTTCTGGGTGCAAAGCAGACGTTCTTCCACTGAGCCATGGCCGCTCCCTGTCCCGGTGTTGCAACATGGTTGAACCTTGGATAAAAGACCACTGGGAGCCTCAGGGAAGTACACAATATAAGAGCAGGGCATTTGCTTATGGTTTTATCAGAAGGGGGGACTGAAGAAAGAAGAAGAAGAGGAGATTGGATTTATACCCCATGGCCCTTCACTACCCAAAGGTGTCTCATAGCGGCTTACAAACTCCTTTCCCTCCCCCTCCCCACAACAGACACCCTGTGAGGTAGGTGGGGCTGAGAGAGCTCTGACAGAAATTGCTCTTTTTCGAGAACAGCTGTGCCAGAACTATGGGTTGCCCAAGGTCATCCAGCCAGATGCAAGGGGAGGAGTGGGGAATCAAACCCGGTTCTCCCCGATTAGACTCTTAACCACCGCACCAAACTGGAAGAATGTTCATTTTGAGTTGACAGCTGAAGGAGGCCATAGAACCGTCTTTCCCCCCTGAGGGTGAAGACAATGAGAGCTTGTGTGAGAATTTGATATGAGAACCTGATTACTGAGGGAGCTTGTCTTCAGTGAAGAAAGAGCTGGTGTTTTCTGTAAATTATCTAGAGAGCCAGTGTGATCCAGTGGGGAGATATCTCTCTCTCTCTCTCTCTCTCAGCTGTCGGTGGAATGTGCCCCCACAAAATGCCCCCTGAAAAGCTGCTCCTGAGGGGCAAGAGCCCCCTGTCCTTTGCAGGGTCAACATAATGGATAAGTGCGAGGTCTGCAGGAGAAGCAAGGAACTGGCAAAAAATTGCTGACCCTTCATTACCCATAAATCGTCTGGTAGATCCAAGCCATGTTTTCCGTTCATTGAAATAACTTCCGTTTGAATTAAGTGGATTGAAAGATAATTTCAGTGGTTTACTGGGGGGCGGGGTAGAGCTATCTAAATCCTGGCAGTCAAAAGAGCAGATGTTTGATGCTGGGGGTGTAGACATCTAATTCCTCCATGCTGAACCCAAACCACCCTTCTGCAACAGATCTAACACCCTGAGAGTTAAGTCTACAAAACAAATATATTTTAAAAAGTGATATAGCTGCAGCAGAATTAGAGTTGCCAGACCCCCCCGGGTGGAGGCGGGGGTCCCCTGCCGCCAGGACTCACTTCCCCGCTGCCGTTTGGCTGGCCAATGGGGAGAACTTACCTGGGAAAAGAGTAAGGCCTAGTTGACATTGCAGTGATGTGTCTACATCACTTCCGATGTGGCCCGGAAGTGACATCATCAAATTGGGGCTACACTGGGCAAAACCTCTATGGTGGAAGCCAAATTTACCATAGAGTTTTCTACCAAATACCAGAGCATCACCCTGACATTGCTGCATGATGATGTAACTTTTGGGTCATGTTGGGAGTGATGTAAACACTTTGCTGCAGCGTCAGCTGGGTCTCCCTCGTGCTCCTTGTAATTCCCCCCCATCCCCTGACAGTTGCAGAATGAAGTGGAAATGTGGTGGCAGAATTTTGAGGTGGTAGATTGGACTGTACCATTTCAATTACAGGGGATGACTGCTTTCTTCAGACTTTTAATTGCTATCATCCCAGTATGCTAACATTATTTAATTGCTATATTATTAAATCCTACAAGATGTACTAGGGGAATTTTTTAATCAGCATGTTTTATAGACTTGTGAAAAATAAAATCTGTAAAAATAAAGAAAAGAACCTTTGCAGTGTGGAAGGCAGCTATTTGCAAAACAAGACAGCTGGAATACTATAGCAATAAAGAACAGTGCAGCACATGACAGGCATTCATCCCATAACATCCCTACCCCATGGCCTGATGTGGTACAGCCCACCTCAGAATTCTGTCACCTCATTTGCCTGTGTGTGTCCACTAGACCTATTTGTGTTGTGTCCTCTTTACAAGATGGATGACCTTCTTCTTCCAGGTTATATCCACATCCAGATGCACCTTGTCAAAGGAGGAGACCTTGCTGTGAAAACCTCCTTCCGCCTTCCTCTGAGGGAGTGGCTTCGACTGGATCTCTCCGTCAACGGAGGGCAGGTATCTGTGATGCTCTAATGGCCTCCTTCCCAGAGCTGAAAGCGTGAGGAAGCCCGCTCAGACCTTGCAGAATTACTGTGGGTGAACCTGTAAGGAACATTTGGAGAGCAGCCTGCTCTGAAAGTCCTCTAACTGTGATTGGTCCAAATATACCTTTCCCTCTCTGTGACTGAGCTCTGAAAATCATAGAATCACAGAGTGGGAGGGGGCCAGACAGGCTATCCGATCCAACCCCCTGCCCAATGCAGGATCAGCCCAGAGCATCCCTGACAAGCGTTTGTCCAGACGCTGCTTAAATAAAATGGTTCTCTGAGTTAAACAAAATGGTTTTCTCCAGGGGTCATCTCATAGAAAAAGAGCTAGGGGAACTCATTAGCATAACTCATTAGCATATGCCACACCCCCTGACATCACTGGAAGTGTGTCATAAGGCCACACCCCCTGACATCACCGGAAATGTGTCATAAGGCCACACACCCCGCCCCCAACGGTCCTGGCCGGCGGCGGCGGCCTTGCAGCTCCACTGCCGAGCCCCATGAGGGGCCTGGCGGTGGACCTGCAAGGCCGGTGGGAGTGCAAGGAAGCCCCGCGAAGGCCCTCCCTGGCCCCAGGCAGGCAAGGGTGGGGAGAGGCAGGGAGGAAGCAACTTACCCTCCCTCTTCTCCTGCCTCCTCCTGGCTGAATGAGGGCCCGAAGCGGGGTGGCCGGAAGCAGGGGGCGGGGCTTCATCATGTGCCCCGCCCCTGTACCTCACTCGGGGGAACTGTGTTCCCCCGCGATCCCCCCCGAAATGACCTCTGGTTTTCTCTGGGTTTGAAATGGTCACCGGCTGTGCACAGTGCTGATTTGATGCCTCCATGAGGTCCTCATGAAACATAAAATAAGGGTCCCAAATAGTTTTCCCCCCAGAATGTAACAGCTTCTCCAAAGTTAGAACCCGAGGAATGTTCAACAGGGAAATCAAATGCAAGGCATGATGGTGTAATATCTAGACACGTTGCTGTTGTACATATTAGATTCCATGTCAAAAATGAAGTCAAATGAGGAGGAAGATCTATGTTTTATTTCAATTAACAGAAAAACAATTGGACCAAATAGTCCATCCTAAAGTGACTACTTTCTTCTCAGCATATTCAGGAAATATGCTTCAATTAATAGGAAAACAATTAGACCAAATAACTCATCAAAAATTGACAGCTTTCTTCTTTTTCTTCTTCATCTTCTTCTTGAATATATTCAGGAATTACATGGTATTTTATACATGGACTGACATCATCAAGAAAACAATATTCAAACAGCATAATTGGTTACAAAAGACAGTGGTAATTTGAGTAATAATCCTCTGATTGGCCAGATGTAAAGAAACATATATCTACGTCAATCTAAGTGTTTACTTAACCTAACCTAAATGATAATGGGCAAGGAATCTTCATATCCCAAACAAAAGTATTCATTACTGATACGAGACTAAAATCTTATCTGACCCAGACATTGAAAGGTTTTCCCTAAGAACTACAGAATCATGAACTGAACAAATTTGAGGAAATTGTGTGAAAATTGTAGTTGTGATTATCTCACATATAAACAGGGTGAATTCTTCTTGTGGTTTCTTGTTATATGTCTGAGAAACATGCAAATCCAAGACCTAAATAAGCACTATATTTTTAATTGATGTTCAACATTTACACTTTAAAAACTAACAGTAACTAATTTTCCTTCTTTAGATAGAAATATGCAGTGTTGAAAAGAATCTGAATAGTCGCCGGCATCAGTCATTTACGTAAGAGCAACTCTCTCTCCTACATTTTAGACTAATATTGTGTGTCCCTACATATCTGACATTTTCCTCAGTATGTGGACCCAACTAAAGAATTAGTCATGTGTTTCCTATGTTACCAGAAGGGCGCAGGGTCCACTTCCCCAAGGTCCAGTTCTACAAAGTTCTGCTCTGCGTTCTTACAGAGGACAGGAGTGGACCAGGAAGGCAATATGGTTCCTTCCCCGGACAGCGTCCCCAGAGACTATTGTGGGAAGAAGCCATGACAAGGTTCCTTGAGAGCCAGTTTGCTGTAGGGGTTAAGTGCGCGGACTCTAATCTGGGAGAACCGGGTTTGATCCCCCACTCCTCCACTTGCACCTGGCTGGATGACCTTGGGCAAGCCGTAGTTCTGATAAGAGCTGTTCTTAAAAAAACAGAGCAGTTTCTGTCAAGAGCTCTCTCAGCTCCACCTGCCTCACAGGGTGTCTGTTGTGGGGAGGGGGAGGGAAAGGAGTTTGTAAGCCGCTCTGAGACTCCTTTGGGTAGTGAACGGCAGGGTATAAATCCAGTCTTTTCATTTTCTTCTTAAGAACATAAGAGATGCCAATGTTGGATCAGGCCAAAGGCCCATCCAGTCCAACACTCTGTCACACACTGGCCAAAAATACCAGGTGCCATCAGGAGGTCTACCAGTGGGGCCAGGACATTAGAAGCCCTCCCACTGTTGGCCCACCCAAGCACCAAGAAGACAGAGCATCACTTGCCCCAGAGCCCCTATCTATACCTTGTGGCTAATAGCCACTGATGGACCTCTGCTCCATATGCTTATCTAATTCCCTTTCGAAGCTGTCCATGCTTGTAGCCGCCACTACCTCCTGTGGCAGTGAATTCCATGTGTTCATCACTCTTTGGGTGAAGACGTACTTCCTTTTATCCATTCTAACCCGACCACTCAGCAATTTCATGGAGTGCCCACGAGTTCTTGTATTGTGAGAAAGGGAGAAAAGTACCCCTTTCTCTACCCGCTCTTTCCCATGCATAATCGTATAAACCTCAATCATGTCACCCCTCAGTCGTCATTTCTCCAAGCTAAAGAGCCCTAAGCACTTTAACCTTTCCTCATAGGGAAGGTCTTCTTCTTCTTCTTCTTCTTCTTATTTATTTTCAAATGCTTTTACCTCTTGTCTTAAACAATGCAGGATCCAAGGACACTTACAATAAAAGTCATATTAAACAAGTAAGGCAGAACAACAAAAAGCACTAGAAATCTTCTCATGTAACAGCAGAGGTGGAATAGGCCACACTCCTTTCCACGGGGAGTGATTCCTTCGGGGTCTGAGGCCCAGAGGAGGGGGGGCCGAGTTGTTCTAGCCTCAGTCGTGGCTAGAACTGGCCTTCCTCTGGAATCCAGTTCTTACCAATGTTACTGGAGATTGGGGGTCCAGATTGCAGGCAGTGGCACCAGCCTGTTGGCTGTAATGTATGAAGAAGAGTTGGTTTCTACACTTCACTTTTCTCTCCCCTACTGAGTCTCAAAGTGGCTTACGACTGCCTTCCCTTCCTCTCCCCACAACAGGCTCCTCTTGAGGAGGTAGGTGGGGCTGAGAGAGCGCTGAGAGAACTGTGACTTCCCCAAGGCCACCCAGCAGGCTTCCTGTGGAGGAGTGGAGAATCAAACCCCGTTCTCCAGATTAGAGTCTGCCGCTCATAACCACCACACCACCCTGGCCCATACGAATGGGACAGAATTATTTAAGTCATTAAGAAGTTCTTCTCCCTAGCGCAGCATGTCTGTGGAAACCCTATATAAAGATGTATGTGGGTTTTTTTGTTGGAAAAAAGAGAGAAAAGCGGAATGTTAACCCCTCCATATAATTCTCAGATTTCTGAGAATTAATCTTGTGTATTGTATATTACAATGACGTATTGTTTGGAGAATATTGTTCTACAATAGGTTAGTAGAGAGCCAGTTTGGTGTAGTGGTTAAGTGCGCGGACTCTAATCTGGGAGAACCGGGTTTGATTCCCCACTCCTCCACTTGCACCTGCTGATGTGACCTTGGGTCAGCTCTGGCACAGCTGTCCTTGAAAAAGAGCAGTTTCTGTCAGAGCTCTCTCAGCCCCACCTACCTTGCCGGGTGTCTGTTGTGGGGAGGGGAAGGGAAAGGAGTTTGTAAGCCGCTCTGAGACACCTTTGGGTAGTGAAGGGCGGGGTATAAATCCAATCTCTTCTTCTCTTCTCTTCTTCTTCTTCTATTACCTCAGCCATTGAAAAGCGTATGTCAGGGCATACCGACTGCCATATTATTGAAGCATAAAAGTACCTGACGTTGCTCTGTTAATGTTACAGAGGCCTACCGTGTGGGATGTGAACAATCCTTCCTCAGCCCATCTCTAGGTGGAGGGTTTCCCCAGAATCACAACCCATCTCCATGTTACAGAGTTCAATTCCCCTGGAGCTAACAGCAGCTTCCGAGGGCGGACTCTGTGCCGTCACACCCCCACTGAGCACCCTTCCTCCCCAGGCTGTGCCCCTAAATCTCCAGGAATTTCCCAGCCCAGAGGTGGCAACCTTAATTCTGCCTCCTCCAACTCAGACGTTTAGCAGTGCGGTCCTAAGCGCGGTCAGTAAGCGTAGAAAAGTGTAACTCTGCCTGCCCTGTGTCTCCTTTAACTTCCCTTCCCTTCCCTTTGTGGAGGCCTGTAGCCAGGATTTTTTATCCTGGGGGCTCCAGGGTTCCGGGGGGGGGGCTGCTGGTGCCAGGGGGCTTAATTTAAAATAAAAATTTAAACCCCCTCTCTGAGCTCCCGTCTCTAGTTCCAGCTCCTGCCAACCTAGCAGTTCGAAAGCAAGAAATTGCAAGTAGATAAATAGGTACCACTTTGGTGGGAAGGTAACAGCGTTCTGTGCGCCTTGGTGTTTAGTCATGCCGGCCACATGACCACGGAAACGTCTTCGGACAGCGCTGGCTCTTCGGCTTTGAAACGGAGATGAGCACCGCAACCCTCGAGTCGGATTCGACTGGCTTTCGAGCAAGGGAACCTTTACCTTTTTTACCTGGAGTCACACCGCAGTGGTGGCACAATTTCTCCATTGTATCTAATGGAGGCATCACACCGCCGCTCAGCTGGCTCGCTGGGGAAGAGAGGGGGCGGCTGCGTGACCTTCGTTGGTGGCCGCGGAGTCTTCTTCCTGATAGCAAGACTCCGCCGGCAAGGGAGGAGGGAAATCTTGTGGGGCTGTCCCTTTAAGGGAGGGCTGAGCCCCCAGAAGCCCCCCACGTAGCTACAAGCCAGCCTTTGTGTATGGAGGGTCTTCTCAGGTATGACACACTGGCATTCCACGATAAAAATATCGAAAGATATTACTGCTACCACACTGATCTCCCGCTGTGCCCTTAGCCTGCTGTTTTGGCTGGGGACAAAGCGATTTTATTTGTGTCACAATATTTTGCAATATTCAGGCCATTAATATACCTCCTTTTTCTAGTTTCAGGGAGGATTTCTTTTACGATGACACTTCGGGATATTTTGCCCTTGGAGGCAGTAGCTACGCATCAGGTATCGAAGGATACTTTGGCCCGGTGAAATACTATCGGCTGAATTGTCTGGGGACAAGAAAGGTGAGTGAGTAGAAAGCCGTGAACTCTGGACGTGGATTAGGAGACCCGTGTCTCACCCAGTTGTCATTTTAAGCACGGTGCTCATTCCTCCTGTAACGTTTGCTGGTGTTCTGAAGACCAGTTTACTGGCTTGGATGGAACCAGGGTTAGGGTTAGGATGAAACCAACCTCCAGATGGCGGCTGGAGATCTCCTGGGATTACACCTGGTCTCCAGGTGACAGAAATCAGTTCACCTGGAGAAAATGCCCTCTTTGGAAGGTAGACTGTATGGCATGACACCCCACTGAAGTCAAGCCTCCCCAAACCCCACCCTCTTCAGGCTCCACCCCCAAAATCTCCAGGTATTTCCTAATCCAGAGCGGGCAATCCTAGATGAAACCATTCTTAAACTGCACAGTTTTTTAAAAAATCAGGCAGGATTCCCCCACCCCCTTCTTTAAAAAAGGTTGCACCGATATGTGACCGTCACCAGCAATGTTCCCTCTTAGCTGTGGAGTCTTGTGAGCAAAAACTCTACTTTGTGAGCTGCTGGCCTTAAAGTTGTGAGCGAGCGATTTGGCTGCTGCATGAATCAGTTTGCTCTGGAGCCATCCCTTCCTGAGCGGAGACAAAAGTGTGTGAGCCGGAGGCTAAAAAAACTGTGAGCTGGCTCACACTAGCTCAGCTTAGAGGGAACACTGGTCACCCGCTCACAGGCAAAAGCAGTACATGGAGGCAGTTACAGATGCGTTCACACAGTCACCAACAAATTACTTTGCCAGGTAGGAATGTTGGCCTCCCACCCCACAACGTCTTCTCAGGGTGGTCCTCTGGAAAAACTCCTTGTCGACTAGGGAAGACTCACTTTTTCAACAGCTCATTCTGGAGAACTAGCAAAACAATAAATCACCGTGTATACATATACAATATAAGCAGATATTTATATATAATGCTTTTAGAAATCAATTGTCAGCAAAGTTACAACTATAACATTATAGAATGCGATCTTAGGCTTGGCAGTACATATGAAACACTACAGTATATTCTCAGACAAACAACGGATTTCTAGTATAAGTCCGTTTACGAATCCTTCTTCAGGTTTGTCGTCTGTATTCTTATCTTCAATGAAATAAAGTGCTGCAAGCTGCAATGGAGTGTAACATGCTTAATAATCCAACAAAAAACATAACTTTTACTCTAATATGTAAAGGAGGATTTACAATTTATAAACTCACCATTATATCACAATGTAAATTCTTATACAGTTTTTTGTACGTTATCGCGTTTAATCTAAAGGAAAGCAGACAAGCACAATGAATATTCTACAGTCCATCAGTGACACATATACAAGAATAATTCCAAGTAAAACAACCATTCCAAAATTTACTAACCTGGTGACTGGGGAGCTCCTAATATGCTCTCATGTGACAGAGTCTACAGTATGTGATATTTGGCTCAGCTTCCCTCAGTGTGGCACAATGTCTCAATAGAAAATTTGTAGGATCTTAGGAGAACTAAGCATAGCAACACCAATTGTGTGGGGTACCTGTGATCAGATTCCCTGGTGTGCAATTTAGCCTCAAAGAAGTCACAGGGGGATTTGGGCCATGGTGCTAGGGAAGAGTATTTAACTCAGAAGAGCCTGCTCCCCCCCCCCCCCCCCCCCCCCCCACACACTTTTTTCGTGG